AGCCGCCCTGGGGGTGCTGGGGAGACCAAGGCCCTTTCCTGCTTTCTTGGCAGCTGCTCAAGTCTGTGGAGAGGCGATGGGGGGCTGCAGCCAGGACAGCGCAGGCGGGGGCCCAGGCAGGGTGGGAAGGGGCTTGAGGAGCAGGTCGAGTGGCTGGAGGAGGAGGTAGGCCTGCATCTGGGGGCAGTCAGCAGGGCCGTGATGGAGTGTGACCTTGGCCGCTGCCTGGTGCCCCTCAGGAGGGGCTGTTAATGCTCCCTGTGCAGGCCTCAGGCTCTGGAAGTGCATGGATGAGGAATGGATTCCTCTTCCCCTGCAGTGAGTTAGGGTCCTCAGGGCTTCAGGGCCTCATGAATTATTTCTCTAAGGAAAATACAGTTGACTCCACTTCTCCGGCTCTACTTCCTGACCTTCCCCATCCCTTTAAATCAACACTGAAGGGTGGGGTTTGCCCCGGCCTTCACCCTCCTGCCTTAGGCTCCAGTGGAGGAGGGGCAGCTGCTTCCATCTCCTTCTGCAAGACCCCAGAGGCCGCCTTAGCAGAGGGAAGGGGGGGATGCTTGCTCAGAACACAGCAGGACAGCATTACACAACAGGGTTCCAGAACCCAGGATGGCAGGCCGAGACCCCAAAGCTGGTGGCACATGTGTCCCCAAATCAGTTCCACATGACTAGGCTCTCCTGAGCAAACCCAGTGGGGCTTCCGATTGTTCCCAAATACCTATCTAGGCCAAACCTTTCTCCTCATTATCAACCCTACACACATACATGCACACACACATGGACAGTCATCCCTCAATATGTGCAGGGCATTGGTTCTGGGGTCTCCAGTTACCCATGTTTGCGGTCCCTCATGTAAAGTGGCATAGCATTTGCATACCGCACACAGGGTTGGGTGTGTGTCAAATACAATGCAAGTGCTACAGAACTACCCGTTATATAAAGGGTCTTCAAAAGGTTTATGGAAAATGCATGATTTCAACATTTCTTTGCACCAAAATACAACTATACTTTAATCCTTTTGAAGTCCCTCCATAGTGTATTTAAAATTCTTGTATTATTTCTTACTGATGTATTGTTGTTTTCTTAGGTTTTTACTATAGGGTACGAATGCTCTGTGGAGAGACAAAGAGAGGGAAATCAGAGGAGATGGCCATGCCGCAATCCCTTCTCCTCCATCTTTCTGTCAAGATTTTAGACATGCCCATCGTGATTTTAGAGCCTCTGGGTCCAGGGCTCAAACCAGTTGGCCATGTGGGGCTCTAATGCCTTCACCACCACACCACCCGCTGGCCCTGTTATGTTTCACTCCTGAAGACTTTTTTTTTTTTTTTTTTGAGAGGTTTTCTCTATAGGGCGCGTGCGCTTGCCAGACAGACAGAGAGAGACAGAGAGACAGAAAGCAGGAAATCCCCTCCCAGGGGGGATGGTCAGGCCGCAATCCCTTCTCCTCCATTCTCCTCTCGGGATCTTGGGCACACATGCACACACGCCCGGTGTGAGTTTTAAGCAACGGGGTCCAGGACTTGAACCGCAGTCAACTATGTGGGAGTCCAGCGACATAGCCATTACGCTAACTGCTGGTCCCCACTCCTGAAGATTTTCAATCCACAGTGGTTGAATCTGTGTATGCAGAACCTGCAGATGCCGAGGGCCAACTAGTCCCAAGGGTGCTGCTCCCTGGGGACCTCGTTAATGTGTTTAAAATCACAAGTTTCCTTCTACGAACATTTGTGGAGCAGTGACCCTGTACTGGCATCTCAGGGCGACCCCATCCTAGTCTCCACTCCCATACCCCTGCCACCAGGCATACTGGCTAGCCAACTAGCTCTGCCCATCACCTGCACCCCCGCAAGGCCCAGGCTCCAGCTGTGTTGCTGCTACCCTGGGTCATGGCTGTCTTGTTTCATGCTGGGCCACCCAGTATCACCGGGGCTGATTAGCCTCATCATCTTCAGCCCCATCACAGGGGTCTGACCAGCTTAGTTATCCTATCACCTGTCCATCCCTCTTCTCTACCCCAGCACAGATATGGGGGTCTGAGACACTGAGCAGACGCGTCTTAGCACCAAGCGTGTCTTAACACTTAGCTGCTGTGTACCTGAGGCAGCTCTTGTCCATGGGACTTAGAGTTGGAGTCCCAGACAGACAAGATGCCTTGCTGGCCTCTCCTGGACCCGGGGTGTGCAGGAGTGGCCTTTACGTTCATGTAGCCGTGCCCCACTTTCCAGTACTGGCTGGGGACTGCCCGAGTGCTTCTTTTTTTTTTGGAGAGGTTTTTGCTATAGGGCGTATGTGCTCGCCAGACAGATAGAGAGAGACATAGAGACAGAAAGCGAGAAATCACCCCCCCAGGGGGGATGGTCACGCCGCAATCCCTTCTCTTCCATTCTCCTCTCGGGATCCTGGGCACGTACTCACACGCGCCCGGCGTGAGTTTTAAGCCACCGGGTCCGGGACGTGAACCGCGGTTGACTACGTGGGAGTCCAGCGACATAGCCATTACGCTAACTGTGGGTTCCCTGCCTGAGTGCTTCTTCCATGGGCAACAGGTCAGACACAATATTGTTCTCACACAGATAATGTCCATGCTTTAAGTAACAAAACTGTACATGATTGGGGGTAGGGGAGTCTTGACCATGGGGAGTCTTCCCACTCAGATACCAAAACTCCTGCTCCACTGCGGTCAGGGTAGGGGTGGTGAGGACAGCTGATGCACAGAGTACCCCAAATACCCTGGCCCCTGCTTTTTTTTTTTTTTTCCAGTTTTGCCGAGGTTAAGTGTGTTCCCCAGACAGAAAGAGACAGGCGAGGGAGAAAGTACCCCTGTGGCAAATGGTCATACTGCAATCCCTTCTCTATTTCTCCTTCCTTGTGGAATTTTGGGGTGCTCACACACACACTCACACACAGTGAACCTCAAGCTGCTGGGTCTGGGAGTCCTGCCGTGGGGTCAGCCATGTGGGATCCAAATGCCTGAAACACTGGGCTACAGGCTGGCCCTGTCCCCTGCTTTAAATCCCCAACTTCCAAACTCAGAGTTGTTGATGTACACTTTGGGAGTGTGTGGGGGGGTGTCATTATTCACTGTCTCTGTGTTTTTTGGAGGAAGCACTACAACCAATGAAAAGTTCAAAGAACAGAGATGGGCCTCCTCCGCCACGGTGCTGGCAGTAAGTGGAGGGGATAGCAAACCTGAGCTTGGGTAGTCCTGGAGTGGCAGAGACTTAACCTCCTTTCTGAGAACGGCTACCAGCTGCCCTGCTAGGGTTCTGGAAGGACAGGCTGGAAACCCGCTGGGCTACTTGAGAAAATATGATGTAAATTACTGTTAACACCAAAACTCCAATTTTACCTCCAGTTCAGACACAGAGCTTGTCCGGCCTGGTTGGAATGAGAACGTGGACCAATCTGCCAAGAGTAAGGCCAGCACAGGGGTGCTGTGCAACCCCTACCTGCCTCCCAGGATAGCCCGGGGCCTGAAGACGCCACCCAGGGTGTCCTGCCAGAGCATGAGGGACTTTGGCACAGAACGTGTTAGCAAAGTGAGGGGGGTCATGGTGGTTAAGGTGGCTGAGCCTACATGACTGCCAGCAGTTTGAGTCCTGGACCCGGCAGCTTGAAAGACACACTAGGCTCAAGTGAGTGTGTGCCCCAAATCCTGAGAATGGAGATCCTGAGAAGGGAGAAGGGGCTGTGGTATGGCCATTCTCCCTACAGGGTGCTTTCTCACTTTGCCTCTCTATCTCTCTCTGGTGAGCATGAGCACCACTAGCAAATAAAAAATAAAATAATAAAATAAATAAGAAGAAAGAAAATGGAACTAGAGAACTGACAGCTGTTGATGCCTTCTGACTTGCCCTGGGATGACAGCACAAGAGCTTGAGCCCAGGCCACTGGGACACCATGGATTGCGGGAGGTGGGCACAGGCAAACTGCATTCTCAATCCACCCTCTCCATCCCCGGGGGGCTGTGGAAACCCCCCAAACCCATAAAACCTCAGCTTTGATGGGCTTACTTACCACGTGCCATTTCCTGTCCTCCATCCACTATGTCTCCAGACCTGGTCCTCCTGTCTCCTCAACCCCAGGCATCAGCCAACACTTCACCCTGGATCAGTTGCCTTTTCTTTCTTTTGTAATTCTCAGGTCCTCACTGCCAATGCGGCCAAACAGAAACCCTCGGTCTAGCCTGGGAGGAAGGGGGTTCCTTCCCAGTGTTCCCTAAGAAAGGCAGCTGACATGAGGGCTAGTCTCTACCCAGCACCCTCCCCTCTGCACTCATGTGAACCCTCTTCTCTTCCTAACACCCCTACACTCAGGCTTTAGATACAGGTACTCAGAATTAATTTCTGGGAGTTTTCACTTGTATGAAACTAGAATGGACCTGCTAGGGTATGAGGTCCTTGTTCGAGCCAGCCCATCTTCTCATAGGGGTACTGGCCATGTCTTCAGCAACTCATAAACTCTTGAGACGAGATGTATCAGCCAGATAAGTCCCACTTCACCCCCAGTCTGGGCTGTCATGTGCACACTCAGGGCCTACCCTGCAGCCAGCAAGGGAGACACAGCTGGGTGTCAGAGAGACCCAAAGAGCCCTGAACAGAAGGCAACAAAGCTTCTGATTCTTTCTCCATGCAGGACTTTTATTTTGGCCGTCAGACCTGCTCTGCAGCTGTGCCCACCTTGAGACCATGTCTCCACCGGCAGCCCCCTCACAGGCCAAACCAGTCAGGGACACCGCCACGCCGGGGGTCGCTGCTCTGCTTCTGCTGCTGGCTTTTCATGAACTCGCTCTGGACTTCGTCAGCAGGGTCTCCTTCAGGGCTCTGCTCTTTCTTGGGAAATTGAGACGAGATGTATCAGCCAGATAAGTCCCACTTCACCCCCAGTCTGGGCTGTCATGTGCACACTCAGGGCCTACCCTGCAGCCAGCAAGGGAGACACAGCTGGGTGTCAGAGAGACCCAAAGAGCCCTGAACAGAAGGCAACAAAGCTTCTGATTCTTTCTCCATGCAGGACTTTTATTTTGGCCGTCAGACCTGCTCTGCAGCTGTGCCCACCTTGAGACCATGTCTCCACCGGCAGCCCCCTCACAGGCCAAACCAGTCAGGGACACCGCCACGCCGGGGGTCGCTGCTCTGCTTCTGCTGCTGGCTTTTCATGAACTCGCTCTGGACTTCGTCAGCAGGGTCTCCTTCAGGGCTCTGCTCTTTCTTGGGAAACAGATCTGGGAATGTGAAGGTCTGTCCATGGGCCTATGAGAGACAGTACGGGCTCCAGCTCAGTTTTGCAGAGGTCCCACACTCTTTGAGACTGCACCGTCCCACTCCACCCATCTGACTCAATTGCTCAAAAATCAGCTCCCGACCCTCACAGACCCCGACCCTCACAGCCGGATGGATGCATGGCTAGGTCTCCTGAACAGTGTCCTTGCCTGGAAAATAAACATCTCGGCCAGCCAGACTACCCTCCAGCTTTTATCTAGCAGCGGGAAGCCATTACTCTGGGACAATGCCCCTTTTCATCGACATTATCTCTTTATGGTGTGGTGTCTGCACCAGTCCTGGGCTCATTAAAAGCAGCCCAGCAAAGCGCTCATTCACCAGAGTGGGGGCAGCCCAGTCGAACTGGGGGGCAGGAATGAGGCACAGAAAAACACGACACAAATAACGTCTGGTGCCACGCTAAAACTTTTTCCATCCAAAATACCTAAAGGCCTTTACCCACATTAAAGGCTACCCCCTCCTCCCAGCTCAGAGCTTGGCAAATAAAATGCATATAACGTACAAAGAAATGTACATATGCAGCAGTCTATAAATCAAGACCGGCTTTGCAAATTAACTGGTTTTACGTCTTTTGCTAAAAGTTCAGAATGTGTCAGTATCGGCCAAGTCCCAGTCCAGATCCCCAACTCCAAGCACGTGGATCGGGGTACCAGTCTGGCCCCTCTGCAGGGAGGACGGAATGTTGCCCTTCGGGGACCTACGCAAATACGAGGTGCCATTTTAATTTGCTAACTATTGTTGCTACACAGCTCCAAAGATAAGGATGAGAGAAAGACAGAAGACAGAGAAGAGAGGACAGAGGACAGGGGAGAGAGAGTGCCCACACGTCTCCCCAGGCAGCTGTCCTCGTGTTTCCACGCAGGTAAAGAAGGATCGACGACAGTATCCATATCTGGAAAACTTTAATAAGTAAAATCAGTAAAGTGCACTTGGCTCTTGTAGACCCTTGTTTTGTAAAGAAATTTGGATTTGGGCAGGCGGCCAAGTATGATCTGAAACAGCCCACAGATTCCACCCTGCGAATGGAAGGTTTATAAATTCTGATCACATGGCGCGGAGTGCAGGGCCGTGATGAAAGGCAGCGGCTGTGTGTGCCGGTAGCCAGCCTGCAGGAGGATTATCTTACACATTTCAGAACTTTTTTTTTTTCTTTTTTTAAAATACCAAAGGGCAATAGTTTACATGCAGGGCTGATTGCCCAGAACAGGGGATTTATGTTTAATATATCGAGGTGATTCTGCTATTTTTCTGAGGCAGGGGGAACCCAAAATGACATTTTAAAATACAAATACAGAAATGGCAATTTACAATAGCTTGAGGGGGAAAAAAAAAACAACGGAGGAAGCCAGAAAGAGAAATTTCTCATTTCTTGGAGACAAAAGCCATTTGTGGGTGCCGAGTATGGTTTCCCTGGTTGGGAGAGCTTCTCCCCTTTCTAGAGAAATTCACCTTGTACTTCAAAAAACAAAACCCTTGACCCTTCCAAAGAGGAGAACGAAAGCTGATCGGCAGTAAAGAACAGGAGAGGTTCCTTGAAAGGTGAAAAGCCCAGCCCTGACTTAGTCATTCTAAGGAGCCTTCTGGACTATTGTCCCCAGGAACGTGACAGCAGCCACCTCTCCTACAGCACTCTGTTCTGGCCCACCGTGTGCTTCAGTCATTGAGACCTGCCCTGTGTAAACAGGAGTCCTCACTGAGGCATGCAGTTAATGCTTTTTTTGTTTTGTGGGTAACTGAGGCACTTGCTATACCTCCCAGGACTTAGGATCAAAGACACGTTTATCAGGTTGTCAGAGAACAAAATGAGTCTCACCATGAACTGGGGCTTCCCATAGCAGCCTACTCAAAATAAGTTCAATAATTCAGTTTGTCCTTGTGACTGACCTCCATATGCTTTACGACAAGCAGTTATCAGAAGCGTCAGCACATGACCCAAGGTCTCAGCAGATACCAGACATAGAAGGGGCCTCTGTGAGTCCCCGGGCCCCTGTGTGAGGGACATGGGGCCTAACCGGCATAGCCACTTTCTGGGCTATGCAGAGATTTGAAGATCAGGAAGGGGGGGTGGCGCGTTACAAATTTTAATTTTGGAACAGGAGGAACCGTGCCCAACGGGGACAGTCTGGGCTCCCAGTTGCCCTGCCTCGTCTCTCTGCCTGGATTCCACAGAGGAAGAAAGACGTGCCGGGTGGCAGCTGCAGACACTAGATCTAAGCACTGCTAAGTTCAGTTTTCATGAGTGAGGTGGGGCCCCGGGAAAAATGTAGGGGCTCAGATGACTCAAAAGCCACTTGTAACTATAGCTTGCCTCTGAAGTGACTCGTGGCGAATGCGGCATATGGGATGTCGACCCGCATGCCATGACAAAGACAGATGGGGCCTGATTTAACAGCGAGCACACAGAGGCCTTTATAAGGCCAATGCTGCTCTTTCCACCTGGATTGGCTCATTTTATGCACAGCAAATATTAGGCCAAATAATTACGGGGGGCCCTGTTCAGAACAACAAATGTGACTGTTTTTCAGAAAAGCTACCATGCTAACTCCGTCTTGCAACAAACTGCCTCCTAACTCCCAAAATAGGCCCACTGGCCTGGGAGGGTGTTTCCACAATAGCGCTACTGCCATCTAGTGGCCCAAGGCCTGCCAGGCTCTGGCCTGGCGGCTGTTTACACTGAAACTGAAGAAATTGGAGGAAGACCCCCTGCAGGTTTCAAACAGTCGGGGGTCAGTTAATGGACTCTGCCAAGTGAGAGGGGCCTTCCCTAGGAGATTCCCAAAGAGGCAATGTGCAGTCTGAGGCCACAGCCCCGCCCAGGTCAGAGGGCTTCAGTCTGGAGACCCAGGGGTCTCAGTCTTAGTCCTAGCACACATTTGAGAAGGGGGAGAGGAGGCGAGTCTGAGCTTGCCTCAGACTGAGTGAAGAGCCTGAAAAGAGGCTCTGAAAATGTGGCTTTTACTCCTGACGGGTCTGGCTCAGGCGGCCTGGGGTGTGGGGGGCCCTCTGTCCCCTGCAGTCCCAGCCAGGATACACAATGAACAGCTTTTGCACTCCAGCCACACGCTCACAGCTGGAAGGGACCGTGAGAGCGTAAAAACTGAAGAACCTGGTAGAATGTGCTGGGGCCTCACAGCGCAAGGCAACGGACACTAGGCTGCTTGAAACCGGCCTGAGCTTTGAGACCCAGGCCCCCTTTGCAATGGCTTTGGCCCTCAGGGGCATTAAACTGCTTTCACGCCTGAAACCTGTCTGAGGACAGACTCTCAAGAGACAGGTGGCCTTCAATGATCAGCCACTCTAGTTTCTGATGGAGCCAAGGCCCATCAGGCCTGAGGTGGTCTACTTTTGCCCGTGGTGCATCCAAACTTCCTGTGGGCTCCCTAAACTCCAACCCATGCTTTGTCTTGCTGACAAAGGTCTGCACAAGTCTGTGGCCAAGCCCGACCTTGTAAGGGTCTGCTTCCACACAGGGGGCTTGAGATTCTGTTCCTGTGAGGTCCCCCCAGGCCCATGCAATGGTTGCTGCACAAACACCCCAAGGATGTTGCCATGAAGTTATGCAGAGCTGAGGCCCTGGCCTTGCCAAGCCCAGCTCCCACTCACCAGCTGCACATAGGCGACCTTGTAGTCTGGCTTCTTTATCCTGACGTTTCTATAATCCCTTTTCCTGTTGGAGCCTGTCAGAAGAGGGGAAAACAGAAAAAACTTTACTCCCAGCTCTCAGCACAAGATTTTTTGACCCAGAAGCCCACTTTTTAGAGGGGAGGCAAATGTGAAAAAATCAGTTAGTACTCTACAAACCACGTCGCACTGGACCCTAAGAATGACTCTCCAATGAACCAATTACCTGGGGGTCTGTGCCACTCAAACAAAGCTCTCTGCTCTATAAAAATACACATGTGGCTAAAATAACCAAGGAGGCAAATTCTCAGGGTTATGAACGCTGAAATCAAATGTGTGCTACTCCCTGGCTCTGCCCTTTGAGCAAAAGTCAGCAGGCTTACAAAGGAATGGGAATGGGGTCTAAGGAAAGAAGAGAGCTCTGAAGACCAAACAGGGGGCATGTAGGAGGTGGGCTGGCAGTGTCTGGCAGGCGATAGAACCAGCCTGCCTAGGTCCACAAAAGCACCCTGTGGTATCCCCATGTGCCAAGACAGAGTAATACCCCCATGAGGTGCTGTGAAGCCATGACAAGGCAGTATGGGAGATCCAAGGAAGGGCCCACAGGACAGGATGGCAGTGGCAACCCCCACAGCCTACTCACCATGCTGCACCCGTGTCCGCACAGCAGCCACGGGCACATTGTAAATGCGCTCAAGATAATTTCTGAGGTCTACCCTGGTCATCCTGCAGGTGAAGGAGAAAGAAAAAGAAATCTGAACGAGGCTAAGACAGAAAGCACATGTCAAACCACCCATCGACAAGGAGAGGTTGCAAAGTGGGGGCAGACTTATTGGCCACATCAGCCTGAGGCCAGCTAAACCCTGAAAACACCAGTGCTGCTTTATCAGTAACTTGGTCCACTGACCACAGGCCCAAGTACTGTGGGACGTGGTGATCTCTGAGTACCCCCTCCTGCTGCCAGGTGCCTGGGCCTGCTGGTCCTGTCTGCAGCGTATGGGTTAGGCCTGTCTGTGGCTGAGGACCTGCTATGATATTCTCATAGGCACTAGCTAGAAAGAATCATCCGTGATTTAGTGGGTCAAGTCCACGTTCCCTTTTCAGCATAGAAATGTAACGGCCATCATAAACCCAGGTCCTCGGCCTCAGGCCTTCACTGGAAAGACTGGATAGCACTGACACTCAGCTTCTGCAGGAACAAATACTACAGCTCTTGCCTGTCTCCATGCCTGAGCTGGTGAGTTTGACTTCAGAGCAACACCCCAAGCTTGGTCACAGGGGTACCAGGCATCTCCCTAAAGGTGAAGGGGCACATCCAAGTCTGTGATCCAAGGCTGGGAGCTGGAGGACTAACTTCCTGGAAACTGTGCTGAGCAGTTCTACACATCACAGCACACTCCCGGCCCAGCCTCCTGGGATTCCTTTCCTGGGAAGAGGATTGAGGCAAGAATTCAACAAAAGACTAGAGCAAGGAAGTAAGTCCAAATCTCAGGCTTTCGGTTAAGCCTTCCCCAGGTGGAGGGCGCAGCACAGGAAGCCTGCCAAGAGCAGGCTCCCCCCAGGCTCTGCAAACACCAAGCACTCCATCAATATTTGCTGAGCGGGGCGGCCTGAGGTATTTTCACAGCGGGAAGAACCCGAACTTGTAAGCTGAGTTCAGTAACGTGCCAGGACCCAAAGCCCCTTGAGGTGCTGCCCCCAACCTAGATTCTTTTTGGGCTTACTCCATGGGGATCCGGAACTGCACGGTATCTTCGGGCTGGGCCGTGCCTGGCCGCACCAGCTGAATGAAGAAGTTGGTTCGGAACACGCGGAGTTGGGGGCCGCCCAGCTGGTACAGAGGGTACCTGTTTTGGGAGAGATTGGGGTTCATGTCACATACTTGGGACAAGGCAGTCCTGTAGGCCAGTCCCAGGCTCTGTGTGTCCGCTCACTTTGACAGGGCAGTGAAGGAAGGGGGTACCTAACATAGGCCCCCACCCCAGAGCACGAGGTCTCACAGTACCTCCCTCACCTCATGGATCTACCCAGTGAGAGGAGCCCATTCCAGGGTCCTGGAGTCAGTATCAAGGGACTACAGGCTCTGGCCTCTGAGGCCAGCCTTTAGAAAGGCCAACGAACAACTCAAAAGACACAAACCGTGGCCAGATGAGCATCCCCCACAGTGAGCTTTATGAGTGCTTGCTGAGTGACACTTCTAGAAGAACTCACAGGCAGGCTAGCTCCCTTCCGCTACTCAGGCAAAGTGACAAACATGTTTTTACCTTCTCCCAGCAAGGGGCAGAAAGATACTCCCTGTGACAGGAGTGTCCTTGCTCCTGAGGAAGCTTGGGGTCATCAAAGACAGTGTAATAATTAACAATCTCGTTTACCAACTGCGCTGCACTACCTTCTCCCACCCCCCAAACCTCCAGAGCCAGAAGCAGCTAGAACCGGCCATGGCTAGTTAGACCTAAGCCATGGGTCAGGCAGTGGGCTGAGTGAGTCTGGCAGAATCTTTACCCAAGTGGTCTTGCCTGCCCCCCCCCCCGCCGCACCAGCTGAATGAAGAAGTTGGTTCGGAACACGCGGAGTTGGGGGCCGCCCAGCTGGTACAGAGGGTACCTGTTTTGGGAGAGATTGGGGTTCATGTCACATACTTGGGACAAGGCAGTCCTGTAGGCCAGTCCCAGGCTCTGTGTGTCCGCTCACTTTGACAGGGCAGTGAAGGAAGGGGGTACCTAACATAGGCCCCCACCCCAGAGCACGAGGTCTCACAGTACCTCCCTCACCTCATGGATCTACCCAGTGAGAGGAGCCCATTCCAGGGTCCTGGAGTCAGTATCAAGGGACTACAGGCTCTGGCCTCTGAGGCCAGCCTTTAGAAAGGCCAACGAACAACTCAAAAGACACAAACCGTGGCCAGATGAGCATCCCCCACAGTGAGCTTTATGAGTGCTTGCTGAGTGACACTTCTAGAAGAACTCACAGGCAGGCTAGCTCCCTTCCGCTACTCAGGCAAAGTGACAAACATGTTTTTACCTTCTCCCAGCAAGGGGCAGAAAGATACTCCCTGTGACAGGAGTGTCCTTGCTCCTGAGGAAGCTTGGGGTCATCAAAGACAGTGTAATAATTAACAATCTCGTTTACCAACTGCGCTGCACTACCTTCTCCCCCCCCCCAAACCTCCAGAGCCAGAAGCAGCTAGAACCGGCCATGGCTAGTTAGACCTAAGCCATGGGTCAGGCAGTGGGCTGAGTGAGTCTGGCAGAATCTTTACCCAAGTGGTCTTGCCTGCCCCCCCCCCGAGTCCAGTTCAGCGAACAGGCAGGAGTGGAACCCCTGGGCACAGCCTTTCTCTGGGCTTCAGGGCTAGAAGGCAGATGCCCAACCTTTAGGGTATAGGAGAAACCCAGGTTCTGTGGAGTCAGAGGCAGAGTCCAGGCCTTGTTGAAGGGTGGGCACAGCGGCACCTAGACCCCTGGGCAATCAATCTGAGGCACTACGTGTGGTCCCCAATTTGGGGGAGCACCCAGTAGCACAGAACAGAAAGGGATGAAGGAGGCTGATGCTGACCTGACCTTCAGCTGCATTCCATGCTGGCCCTTGGCCTCACAGGTCTAGAAAGGATGAGGGTATGAGGCCCAGAGGGCCCGGGTGGCGTGTTCTGGCAGGCAGTCTAAGCCTCAGGGCTGAGAAGTGGGGTTACCTGGGGTGTTTAGACAGCACTGGCCAGCCTGACTAGGACCAGGAGTTGCCAGGGACTCTCAGAGGTGGGCACCTGTAGCAAACATGGACCATACTGAATTACTAGGAACATCTGGCTGGCCACACCTCCTGGTCTCCAGGTCAACACATGGCAGCTAGGTCATCGGGCCACCCTCTGCGGTGGGAGAGAACCATCTCGTAGGCTCAGACCCCAACAGAACCTCCCTCTCGTCAGAGTCTTGGACTCTGTGCTTTGGAGTGCAGGCAGCAGGGGTGGACACAGCATCAAGAGGCCCAGGAAGGGCAGGCTCTGAGAGGTGTGAGGACCTGCCCTTCCAGGGAATGCCTTATTTTACCTGTAGTCAGTTCATGCTGGCCTGTGGCCAACCTAGGAGCTCACATATTCCCCCTGGTGACCAATGGTGGCACTGCAGGTGGGCATAGTTTGGGGACCCACTCTGAAACCGAGGGGTGCAATAGCTCAGAGACCCCTCAGTCTGAGCTTCCATGCTTGGGGTCCAAGGGTGCACCCAGCTGGGGGTCTGATGAGATGAAGGATGTCGGACAAGGACAACCCCATGCATGGACCTGGGGTGAAGGGCCCACGGAGTCCAGCAGGAGTTGAGTTTGGGCTGTTTTCCACATGTCCATGTTCTCACAGACTTGTCATCTCACCCAAAAACGACCTGCATGCCATCCTGAGGCCTGGCACCCCTGCTGAGCCCACCCCAACCTCAGTGGTTCTCTCAGCCCCACTCTCCCCAGGGAGCCTCCCTGACCGCTCCCCATATTTCACAAGCACTTCAAACCTAACGTATCTCAAGTGGAACTCTTAACTTCTCCTCCCTCGAAACATAAAAACCTGGCTCACTGCCACCAGCCCTGCCTTCCCATGGCCCCGCAGTGACTCATCCCTTATCCCACCCTCTCCCCCTCCTCCACCCACATCCCACCCACAAGAAAGCTGTCAGCTCCCTTCCAAGCTTCCTTGGGGAGTGGGAGACATGTAAACTGACCAGCCCTGTCTTGGGGTCTCTCCCCAGCCCATGTGGCCTCAGCTTGCAGCCTCGGTTCCTTATGGGCAGACAGCACCTATCCAAGAGGGGGTCCTCCAGTCACACCTGCAGCCCTCTCTCTCCCTGCTGTGTGTGTGGGGCGCTCCAATTCCACATCCTGGTTCCTTGACCCATCTTCTCTACTTGGCACACCCCAAACACTCAATACTGTCCCCAAAACGTGCCAGAGTCACCATCCATTGAGTCATTGGTTCACAGAGAAATACGCAGTGCTTCCTGCTTACATTTGGGGGAAGGATGTCCAAAGACAGTGCCTTCCACAGCCCCTCTGGGAATCTGTCATAGCACACGCAGAGCGGGGCTGGGGGCAGTGCTGGCGGAGGGAGACCTCGGCACCGCCAAGGACGGTCTGCTCTGCACCCTCCTCCAACTGATCCTTGAGTTAGGATCAGGGTCGTCTCTGCTAAAGGCCAATGGGACCTCCAGGTCCGTCCAGCTCAGGCTATGTGCACCTGGGCAGGCTATCAGATCTGAGATCGGGTCCTTCTCTACGTGGGGGCTCACGCAGCATGCCGGGCCTGCACCCGCCAGATGTGGAAGCAACCCTGCCAGGCCACACGCACCCCTGTGACAACCAAGCCCATCCCGACACTGCCCAGCGTCCCAGGCCGGACTAAGAACCATCTCTCCTGGCCCAACAGCTCGGCCTGCCCGATGCCATTCTCTCGGGTCGCGGGGCCCTCGGTGCAGTCCCCAGGAGCCACCCGCTGACACCTGTGGCCCGCCCCAGATCCGGCTCTGGCCACTAGTCCTTGGAGACAACCCAGACACCCCCGCCTCACAGTGCGCACCCAGCCCTCGCCCACCCGCCCCCGGGCCGTGTGGGTCCGTCTGCTTGTGACACTGCAGGGGCGCCTCGCCGGCAGGGGCGACCCCTACTCACAGCACGTTCCGCGCCATGGCGGCCGGAGGGACTTTCCGCGCCGCCGC